GGGGCTGGCTGGGGAGCGCGGCGCCGAGCGCCGGGAGCCTGAGGGCCCGGCTGTGTCTTGCAGAAGTGGCAGTGCGTGGAGGACGCGTCGGGGAAGCTGAAGCTGCACAAGTGCAAGGGCCCCGCGCGCCTCGGCGGCAGGGCGCTCTCCAACCTGGTGCCCAAGTACCGCGCGCCGGGCGGCGGCGACACGTGTGCCTGCGACGGCGGCTACAAGCTCAGCCTGGCCGGCCGCCGGAAGAAGTTCCTCAAGAAGAGTAAGTGCGGCGGGGGGCGCGATCCTCTGCGGCCCCGCAGACCGCGTCCCAGCGCCGGGTGGCGTCCCGGGAGCGGGGACAGGGCGGCGGTGAGGCGGGAAGAGGACGTGCGAGCGCGCTGAGCACTGCCCAGGGCCGCCGCGGGAGAGGCAGGGGGGAGGGCGGGAGGGCGCCCGGCGGCCCTTACTCAGAGGCCAGAAGCCAGCGGCCGGTTTTGAGCAGGAGAGCCAAGGTCAGATCTGTGTTTTCAAGGGACCCTCCAGCTGCCACTTGGGTGGGCTGCGAGGGGGCGGGAGCGTGCGGAGGCCGCTGGGGAGACCTGGCGGGAAGCCTGGGTGCTTGGCCGGCCCCTCGCGGGCAAGGAAGCGGAGTCGGGCTCTGGACGGGCCTGGAGGGGAGAGCCATGGCAGAGAGTGGATCCTCATTATCTGCAGATTGTCTTACTCGCAGTGATTTACCTGGAGCCCCCGTATCAGTGCTCAAGGTGCCTTCTCGGTCATTCACCGTACGTGCGGAGGGGCAGAAATTTCTGAGTCCCGCAACCCGCGCGCGCCCGGCTGAGCTTGAACGAGGCAATGCCCTGCTTTCCAGCCTCCGCTCTGGTACCGTGTGGGGGCATCTCTGTCACGGCTGTTTAGCATCACGTTTCTTGCATTTTGTGCTTTTGCCCGGGGATGTCACTCTTCAGCTTGGTGCTGACGTGCTGTGTGGTGTCCCCAAGCACGGGAAGGCTGAGATGTGCCCCAAGGAGAGGACACATGGGTTAGATAAGCTTCCCTCAGGCACGAGACACAGCGCTGTTGGCCGGGAGCTCAGTGTTAAAGGATCAACGGTATCTCTTAAATGAGGTGTCTTTAAACAGAAACACACAGATAAGGTTCTGTACTGACAGTTGACAAACATGCTGTGACCAGGGGCTCACAGGAACCGAACCCCCCTTTTCCCCTAGGAGCAGTGGCGTGGTGTGGGCTAACTCAGTGTTCAAAGAAAAGAAAATTACAACCACATAGTATTTAGAGAGAGCAGGAGGAGTCTGCACTTGGCTTTTCCGAGGTGGGCTCTGGGGGTGGGGGGGCAGGGAAGCAGGCAGGGTGGCCCCGCCCAAGGGGTGCTGGCCGTGTGTCCCTGTCTCAGTCCTTGAGCTCCCCCGGGGTAACTCGGGCCGCGCCCATAGGTACAAATAAAGCCAGGCCTTCCTGTCCCGCTTCTCACTGAGAGCCCGCGGCTTCCCAGGCCCAGGCGCGGGTTGGGTGGCTCTCTCACGGGGTCCACGCGGGCAGCTCCGTCTTACCACGAGACTCAGGACCGGCCCATCCCCATGGCCGTGCCCCCCACCCCTGTTTGTTCATAAGCCCCCAGACCCTCCTCCCCGTGTGTGGAGGATGTCTCGTCTGGGAAGAAGCCCGTCTGTGTCTCTGGACAAGAACTTTGGGTTTCGCTGCTCCCTTGGTTGCCGAGCGTGGTTCCCGGCCCTGGAGCGATGGCCCTGAATGTCCCCAGCAGAAAGCCCTGCCCTCCGGGGGCTGCGTGCTGGGGAGATCCCGCCAGTGGAGCTACCAGGAGGGAGGTGCTGGGCCAGCGGCCTTTGTCCCCCCTGGATTGTTCAGATCCTTTCGGCGCCGCCCAGACTGGGGGTCGGGCAGTCCCAGGGCGGCCCAGGGGCAGGCATCAGAGCACGTTGCGAACCCCAGAGGAAAAGAGCCCTGGAGGTGGGGGTTGGGGCCCGGGCCCGCTGGGGAGGCGTCAGTCTCTAGCCCCCCAACTAGAGCCCTGAGGACACCAGTCCCAACAGTCAGCCACGGGCAGGACACAGTCGTGGCCCTGCTGACCCGGCCGCCCCTCGGTGCCGTGAGCCCCGCCCCCCGCAGACGTGCGTCCGTCCCTCGGTCGCTGAGCAGCCGGGGCTCCCGCGAGCCCGCGTCCCACGCCGCGA